CGCAGAGACGACCAGCAAACAGGGAGTTGGGTGAGAGAAGAGGAAGTCAAACCCTTTAGATGGGGCGAAGTATTTCCTCTCCACGCCTTTCGCAGTTGGTGCACTGGAGGCCGGTGTTTGCCATACTGTTTTGTAGTTGGACTGGACCGTTTTTATGATCGGGAGCGCGATCCTGGAGGGGCCCTCCAGGCTTAAGATGTCGACCATGGGGTCCTCCTGCTCTACCGTCTCCTCCGCCTGCAAGCCCAGACTGAGGGCTACACGGCGGAGCAGTTCCTGGTGCGCCCGATGATCAATCGGAGGAGGGCCAGACACTGTTGTGCCCGCCACGGCTTCGTCTGGTGAGGAGGAAGAGGTCAGGGCCTTTTGCGCATCTTCGTCTTCCTGCAACTCCTCACTGATTGGGCGCTCCTCTGGGGCCAGTCCCATGACGTGGGTCTGAGACGGTACCGGGCTCGGTGCCGAGTCTGCCCCTTCTCGCTCCGGTGGTCTGGAGACTGTGGCCTCCTTGCGAGAGGGCGGGCGCCACTGCGGTGTCCCGAGGACCCAGATCTCGAGGTCCTGGACGGGGGGCCTTGCTGGTGGTAGGCCCAAGGGGTCCAGAATGGCCATTGTCCTGGCTGGCCCCATTGAGGATGCCAAGCGGCTTCGTGGTCCCTACTGGCCTGTGCCCTGTGGGCATATCCGCCGTACCGGCCTGAGACTTCCTCCGAAACCACAGACAGTGATCTGGAAGGCCACGGCGGTGCCGTGGGACGGTGCCGGTCCGGGGTCGGAGAGTAGTGCCTCCGTGACCGGGACCTGGAGTAGCGTCTTGCCGATCTGGACCTGGATCGGTACCGGTGACCACAGGATCGGGAACGACTACGGGTGATCGGTCTCGGGGATCATGTAACTGACACGTCCCGGTGCCTACTCGAGTAGGGCTGCTGGGTTGGTGCCGGCCGCTTATTGAGGCCCGACAGCTGTGGAGCTCTCTGCGCGGAGGGAAGCCGGGAGTCCACCGAGGCGGAGCTCGACTGGGAACGGCGCCTGTGATGGGCACGCCATTGCCGGCTTGCCTCTGGATGGCAGTCTTGGCGGAACGTCTTTAGTTTGGATGGGGCCCTCAGCGGACAATTCAATGAGGTTCTTTGCTGCCTCAAATGTGTCCGGGGTGGAGGGCTGTTCCAAAAGCTCCTCCAGCCCTTCCTCCTCACTCGACGCGCCTATCCCAGGGCTCGACGGGCCTTTCGGCGCTGGAGCCACTGACACCGGGACCTGTGCCGGGGCCGCAACGGCCTTAGGCGCACTCGAGGTCTTCGTTGGCGCTGCCCTCTTATGCGGGGAGCGTCCTCGGGCCTTGGGTTGGCCCTTCGATTTTGTCGGAGAAGACGACCGATGCCGGAGGTGTTCTCGCTGATTCGGTGCCGTGGGCTTAGGGTGCCCCGCCGGCGCCGGATCACGGACCGATGCCGGGGCACTCCGCACCAAGGCTGACGGTGCCGTCGAAGTGGAGGGCTGTAACGCCGTCTCCATGAGCAGCTGCTTAAGGTTAAAGTCTCTCTCTTTCTTAGTCCTGGGCTTGAAAGCCTTACAGATCTTGCAGCGCTCTTTTTGGTGTGCTTCCCCCAGGCAACGGAGACACGAGTCGTGTGGATCGCTTAATGGCATAGGCTTATGGCACGTGGCACAAGCCTTGAAGCCTTGGGCGTGCGGCATGCCCCGCCGCCCAGGGCCGGTGCTGGGGTTGACCAAACATCTAATACAAGAAGTTTGAGTATTTCTAAAGAACTGTTAACTGCTAAGCTTAACACTAGCTACTAAAGAACTGATAACTGTAAAGATAACACTAATGACTATGCTAAGGGACACTCTCAGATGAGAGACAGTTGTTCCAACGCCGCCACGGACGGTAAGAAGGAACTGAGGGAGGCTCGGGCCTGCACGGATATACATACCCTAGAGCGGGGCGCCGCTCTGGCGGGAGGGGGGGCCCCTGCCGGCCTGACGGGAGCCGCTGAGGGAAAAAGTTTCCGATGTCCGTGCATGCGGCGCGTGCACACCTAATGTGTAATAGATGTGAACAATCACTCGAAGAAGAACTACTGTTACTGCAGAGACTCTGATATCTGGTTCCATTCCCCAGGCCCAGTCTCCATTCTTTGGGCTTCTCATCCCAGTCACCTTGCTCAGCCAGTCCTAGTCTCCCTCTCCCAACTCCTCATACAATTTGTCCCTCTCCTCCTTCCCCCATCCCCCCTGCAAACTGGCTTCCAGTTAGGGTGACCAGATTACCAGCATACAATATCGGGACGGGGGCGGAGCCAAAAAGGGGGGGCGGAGCCAAAAAGGGGGGGACGGAGCAAAAAAAAGTTTTAAGGGGCCTGGGGCATTAGCAGGCCCCGCGCGCTGCCCTCCCCGCGGAGCCTCCCGCCCCCTGGCCCGCCACGGGCATATGCGGGGCACAGTGGGTCTGGGCGGGGGCAGCGCGGAGCAGGCAGGAGCCGGGTGGGTGGCAGGGGCCAAATCCCCGCTGCTGCTAGGGAGCCCCGCGCCTCTCCCTCCAGCTCGCGGCTGTGGCTCCTTCCTGGCGAGACGCGCCTCCCGCTTCCCCGGGCACATGCGGCGTGCATCCCCCGCGCCTAGTCTCCCTCCCACCGGGAAGGAGCAGCTGGATGCGCGCCGCATGTGCGCGGGG